AAGAAGAAGAAGAAGAAGAAGAAGAAGAAGAAGAAGAAGAAGAAGAAAGACATTTCATAACCAATATGCACAGCCATATAAAACACAAGCAGCATGCACTACCTATAAAAATTAAAAACTATTTGGGTCGCCTATCACCCAAAGCTCATCCATTTTGGGGTGGGGGGGGGTGTTTTGGGGTTGTTTTACATTTCCTTAAGATTGTCTAAGCACATCACTCCTCCAGATTTGAATTTCAAAGACACAAAGAGACTGGCAGCTGTCTGACAACAAAGTCAGTTCGAGCTTCCAAGGAGTCACCATCAGACCTATCGGACACCATCGGACCCAAAAACCAACCTGAGTCCTGACAATTAGAATCCTGGTCCATTTTTTAACTGAGGGATCACATGTTTTTCGGGTGTTGTTTTTTTGTGTGTGTGTTGTTTTTTTTAGCCGTGAGAGCAGCACCTCGTTGGAGCTTGAAAACTCCAGGCAGGATCAGGCATGTTTGGGATTGAATGGGAGACCTGCGTGGCGCATTAGGGCCGGGGGCGAGATTGGCAAACCGTTGGGTGGGGCTGCCAAGAAAATGACAGAGGGTGCCTGGCACAAAGTCATCCGAGATCAAACAAAGACTTGTGGGAGAGACCTCACTGATGAGTATGGGGTTACAAGAACTGTCAGCCCCAAATTTCACACAAAAAAGGTGTGGTGGTGACGTCAAAAAGTCACATCGTGAAGGTACTCTTGAAAGCCTATACAAAGGCCAGCATCGGTTAAGGTAGCAGAATAACAGGTTCACGCATTTGGAAGGGACCCTGGAGGTCTTCTAGTCCAACCCTCTGCTTAGGCAGAATACCCTACACTACTTCAGACAAATGGTTGTCCAAGGTCTTCTTTAAAAACCTCCAGTGTTGGCGCTCCCACAACGTTTGGAGGCAAGTTGTTCCACTGATTGATTGTTCTCCTGTCAGGGAATTCCTCCTTAATTCTAAGTTGCTTCTCTTCTTGGTGAGTTTTCCATCCGCTGCTTCTTGTCCTGCCTTCTGGTGCAATAGACTGACTCCCTCTTCTTGTAAGGCTGCCATCATGTCTCCCCTTTTCATACCCGTAGACATACCCAATTCCAGCAACTGTTTTATCCTCCAGTCCCCTAATCATCTTCTATGCCCAAGACCTTCCAGATGAGCTGAAGTTGGCAAGCTAAGGGCATGGATGGTTATTTATTGAGATGCACAGATTGATCAGGTCCAGCTGTAGATATGAAACAGTTGTTGGAGCTGGTTCAGTGGAAGGATGGAAAAACCTCAAATATGGCTTTTCTATCACCAGTTTACTAAGTATTCCTTTGGCTCTCCTCTGTCTGCCATCTGCATTATTATTATTATTTGTGCGTGTGTGTATGAAAGGCTCAAAAATAGCGCATCCCATGATCGCAAAAGAAAATTCCATATGCGATCTTGCAACCCATCCAGCTCCAATTCCAGCTTCCAAAGATAAAATTAGCCCAGGAAGTACAAAGAAGCCTTTAAAGATTTGCACCAATTTGCAAAAGAACTATTTTTGCCCCTAACATTCAACAGAAAACTACTACCTTTTTTTAAAAAAAAGAAAAGGAAAGCTCATCTCCTGGAGAATCGCAAGAACACGTGAGAAATTCCACCTTATCTTCAAATTTTTGTATTGTTTGAAAAACAATTTGGATTGTTGGATAAGCCTCCTTTGAAAATGCCCCGATAAAGCAAATGTTTTCAGGGCAGGATTCCACGCGCAGAGCAACCTTGACAACATACTAGATTAAATGAGACTCTAGAAAGAGTGCAGAGAAGCGACGGGCGGAAATTAATCAAGGAGAGAAGCAACTTAGAACGAAGGAGAAATGTCCTGTGGGTGAGAACAATTAGTCAGTGGAACAGCTTGCCTCCAGAAGTTGTCGGTGCTCCAACACTCAAAGTTTTTAAGAAGAGATTGGACAGCCATTTGTCTGAAGCGGTGTAGGGTTTCCTGCCTAGGCAGGGGGTTGGACTAGAAGACCTCCGAGGTCCCCTTCCAACTCTGTTATTCTATTCTATTCCATTCCATTCCATTCCATTCCATTCCATATCAGTCTTTCTCTTCAAAAATGCCATTCTTGGTGTCTTTTCTTTCTTCTTTAAAGAAGTAATTTGAAATGCCAAATCATTGCCAGATTGGGAAGAATTCTGAGATTCTGCAAGAATGCTAAGCAGAGCTCCATCTATCAGTTTCCCTGGGTTTATGCTAACTTTTGGCCGTTCCCCAAGCCCCAGAAAAGACTCATGGCAACGAAGACCACAGCTTAATCTGAAATTAATGTTCTCCTTCACATCTGAAGAACTCAACTTCTTTTTTGGAAGATGAAGCCTGTTCCGATGTACAAATGGGAAGGATTTTGTGGGAGTTCCGTGACTACAGGCGGAGTATTTGAGATACACATTTTCCATTTCTCCAGCCAGCCGATCAGTTCCAATTTGTTTTTACAGATCCTTGTGCTGTATTGTACAGAGACGACTGCAACGTACCAGCCTATTCCTAGAGTCACAACCTGTGCAGCAGTGCCCTCTAGCGAGCACGAAATGCACAACTGCAGGCAGTCCTCGAGGTACGACCACAACCGAGCCCAACGTTTATGTTTGCTAAGTGAGAAATTTGTCAGGCGAGGGGATCACCTCGCCACACTGCAACCGTCATAATTACGAGTCAGTTGCCAAGCATCAGGTGACCATGGGGAAAACAGCCATAAGGCACGTTTTTCAGTGTCATTGCAACTTTGATCAGTCACTAAACGAATGGTTGTCAATGAAGGGCGGCTTCTTCGTTTCAGTAAAGTCCCAAGCTTTCGGTATGATTCTGTCACATCCATAAATCTTTCCTCCTTCCGTTGATGATAAGTGAAACTTACCCATAATGAAATTTTCTCCTCGGTTTTAAGTACAGGCAATGAAACAGCAGCGAGAGAAGGCAGCACATCCCTCAGAAGTGGGTTTTTTTCTGAAAAAGACAATTAAGATGCCGCACAGAGCTGTCATTTTCTCTCCTTAAGGCTGCAAAGGCAGAACAAGAAGCCATTCCCAGCAAAGTCAAAACGAGGTTTTTCATAGCTTCTGGCTTTATTATCATAAATTGTTATGAGATTATGATCATGATTTATCACTTGTTCCTTGTATGAATACTGAGAGCTTATGCACCAGAAACAAATTCCTTGTGTGTCCAATCACACTTGGCCAACAAAGAATTCTATTTCTATTGAATTCTTTATTCCGATATTCTATTCTATTCTATTCTATTCTATTCTATTCTATTCTACTCTACTCTACTCTACTCTACTCTAATTCTATTCCATTCCATTCTAATTTATTCTATTTCTTTTTCCTTTCCTTTTTCCTCCACTCTACTCTACGCTACTCTACTCTACGCTACTCAATTCTAGAAATCAGTAACTTGGCCTGAGCCACCGATTCATTAATTAAATTCAAGATGCAAACTGAACATAACTGATTAGTGCTGAACTTTAATAGATTGCTTGCCTGCTTCTGCAAGGAAGATTTGCTGTCTAGCAACCCTAGAAGAGGAAAATTACTTTTAGAGGGTGGTTCCCCGCACCCCGGTTATCTGGGATAACAATACTACTATATGTAGGATTTTTGGAGACAGGCGGGCAGCTATAAATGGCACTGAAAAGACAAACCACATCCATTGTGAGCTCCCTGGAGGACAGATATCTGTTTGTCCCTAAAATACTCTGTACACCATTGTATGCTCCTTAAACTATTGTATGTGTGGTTTATGTGTTTGTTTGTTTTTTAAACTGGCTCTTTACAAATATAATTAGACATGTTTGCAGAAAGAACATGGCGGCTATACTATTTCTTATATATTTGAGCAAAGGGGCACCCTACGAAGAGCTTATATTATAAATCAGCTAATATATATAGATAAATAGATAGGTGGGTAGGTAGATAGGTGGGTAGGTAGATAGATGATAGATAGATAGATAGATAGATAGATATTGATTGCATGCATATATGTATATACATATCTATATCTATCTATCGATATCTAATCTATACCTATACTTATACCCACACCTACCTCTACCTCTACCTCTACCTACCTTCCTACCTTCCTACCTACCTACCTACCTTCCTACCTACCTACCTACCTTCCTTCCTACCTACCTACCTTCCTTCCTACCTACCTACCTACCTATCTATCTATCTATCTATATCTACCATCATAAGCCAATCTCTGATTCGGTTCAAATACTTCTTAATTCTCAAAGTTACACTGAATAATATTCACTATGGGCATTTTAGTGGATGGGAGGGGGAGGAAAGGATATTTGCATAGATTTGGGTAAGTCCACAATGGAACCCAACGTCACTGCTGCTAAGTGAAACATTTGTTAAGTGAGGTTTCCTCCCCGCATTTGTCCACCTTTCTTTTGCCACAGCTCTTCAGGGAATCCTGGCAGTTGTTAAATTAGCAAAACGGTCATTAAGCGAACCCTGTTTCTCCTCCTTGACTTGTCTTGACAGAAGGACGCAAAAGGGAATCAAGTAACCCCAGGACGCTGCGACCGTCATAAATATGAGCCAAGTTGTCTGAATTTTGATCTTGTGACTAAGAGGATGCTGCAACGGTCATCAGTGCGAAAACTGGTCGTAAGGTCGCCTTTTTCCCCCCGGTGCCGTTGTAACTTTGCACGGTCACTAAACAGAACTGTATACAAGTCGAGGACTGCCTGCATTAATTAATTAAAGGCGGCTCTCTCTCACTCCCCTAAGAAACAAGGCATGGAAACACACGCACATCCTCACAAACACATTTCAAAACCGTACGGCCTGGACCCCTGCAACTATCTATGAAATTCGTGGAACTTAAATTGCGTAATTGGCTTTTTTTGTTGCTCCAGACTGTGTGTAGACAAGGAGCAGCGTGTGACTTTTACGCTTGTTTACATCTTATGGAATCCACACCGGAGACGCGATTTCAAAATCCCTCTGATTGTTTTTAGAATGTAAAGGCAAAGAGCAGATTACGCTCAGTCACTAAGGAAGGGGATATATGCCCGTTCCTTAATTTTATTTTATTTTATTCCTTTTCCAAATATATCCTAAAGCTGGAAGATTAAACTGCATCTTTTTCAGCTTCTTAGCAGCCGCGTAGAAAAAAAATGGTTTAAATTACGTGCCTTTTTTTAAAAAAAAATAATATATATTTTTAATCTGAAGTGGATTGCCCAAACCATAAAAGCGGTTGATTATTAATCTGAGTAAACTTTTCCCTCGATCAATCGTTTTCCTGGAAACTGGATTTATGAGAACCGTGTGAATAGTTCTGCATCTGTGTTTGGTTTTTAAAATGAATTTGGTAACAATAAGTCAGTTTCATTTAATGGTGGCCCATTGGGTGCCTTTCAGCTTTGGAATTAAAGAAATGAGGCATACAAGTTTAAACTGTCCTTCCCTCCCCCTTTTAATTGCATTATTCTTTAATTTGGATTTACATGAGCAAGACCTAGGGAATTTAGGAAGCATACCCAGTTCCTGCAACCGTTCTTTGTATGTTGCTCTTCTCTGCACACTTCTAGAGTCTCGATTAAAAAAAGATGTGACTTTGGAAAGCGTGCAGAGAAGAGCAAGGAAGATGATTAGGGGACTGAAGGAAGAAACATACGAAGAACGGTTGCAGGAACTAGGTATGTCTAGTAGAAGAACAAGAAGAACATGGGGAGATATGATAGCAGTCTTCCAGTATCTCAGGGGCTGCCCCAAAGAAGAGGGGGTCAAGCTATTCTGCAAAGCCCTTGAAGGCAGGAAAGAAGCAATGGATGGAAATTAACGAAGGAGACAAGCAACCTAGAACTAAGAAGGAATTTCTTTACAGTGAGAACAATTAACCATTCACCATTGGAACTACTTTCCTGCAGAAGTTGTGGGTGCTCCATCACTGGAAGTTTTCAAAAAGAGAGTGAAAAACCATTTGTATGTCTCCTGCTGGGGCAGGGGGTTGGACTAGAAGATCTTCAAGGTCCCTTCCAACTCTGTTATTCTATGAGCTATGTTCTAACTGGTTCTAGCTGAACCAGTTCAAAGTCACACGCCTATTCTTTCAAATTAGGTCTATGGCCCATTAATTAATGACTCATTTTATAGGGAATCAAACTACTTCTATGCCTTGTCTAGGTTTTCCCGTCTCAAAACCGCCTAACCCGATGTCATCTGTCACGGGGGAAGCCTTTGACGAAATCCTCCAACCAAATTATTAATTTTGCTAAAAACCATGATTCAAATTTCCTGCTTTAAGGGTCGCCTCTCCTGGACTACTTAGTAAACGGTTGATCCTTGGCAAATCAGCTTTTTCACAATCATTCACTTGGGCAATCTAAGCCAAAGAAAGAAATTACGAACCGCTGAACAGTCATTAAAAAAAAAAAAGCGATCCAGGTTGGAGATATTTTTTTTTTCCCACCCAGAAAAATAGAACACCGCGTTTGTTCCCTTAATACATTTTTTTTAGCAAACCTCACATTGCAAATTTCTGTAAAAATGAACAGGACTGAACGCACTCTAGGAGCTACCTTAATTTTCCTTGTCAACTGGCAGCCTTTCCTGTTTAACTGTGAGGATGGAGCTCATCTATTCACCCCGAGAAATTCCACAAGACTCCCCCCCCCAAAAAAACTATCCTGAATCCAGGTGAATTCTTCTCCATCTTCAGCTCGGTTGGGAATCATTCTCATGGGCCGGCATATTTAGGTAGGCTCTAAAACACCGGCATTAAATACAGACCATCCTGGAACTCGGAACGAATCAATAGTTTGGTTGTGCATTCTGCTTAGGTTTGTTGTGACAGCTAACTCGAGCAAGGCATGGTTACCATAAATTACAGAGAAGGCTAAAAAGCTCTTTGCAGCAACACAATCCCCCATGACGTTTCTACCAATAGTAACTGCAAGCTGTTGCTACGTCCATTGTTGTCATGGTCATCCTAAGCAGCCATTCATAATAAACAAAGTGAGGCATACGGAGGTTGCTTTGAAGGAGAGCCACCAGGAAGAAAAATTCTATTTCACACCTTTACGAAACCGAATTGAGGGAGAGAAAAAAATAAAAATAACAATTACGAAAGCTTCAGCCTAAAGATCCGCCTTCTTTAAATCTTGGGAAGAAACACAAGGTGGGTGACTTTAAAATTATTTGTTCCTATGTTTATTTAAATGGGAATGTAGCCCTGCTCCCAACTTGTGACTTTAGCATGCACGCTGTATGTAAAACTCTGGAAGGGTACCACCATAACTCTGAAGATGTTCCCTAGTTGGGTCATGAAACGTCTGCAAGAAAACCACCAAGCTCAGAGAGCACCAAGGACCCCTAATTTCTCCTCTTCCTCCTCCTCCCCTCCCTCCTCCTCAAACCCTACTCCCTTCTAGCACTGATGATGTTCCCTAGCTGGGTAATGAAATGTCTACAAGAAAACAACCAAGCTCAGAGCCCTCCTCGTCTTCTCCACAAACCTTACCCCCTTCTAGCACTGATGATATTCTCTAGTTAGGCAACAAAACGTCTGCAAGAAAACAACCAAGCTCAGAGAGCACCAAGGACCCCCACAATTTCATAGACGGCTAGAAATTTCCCAAGAACGAAAAATTATGCCTTCCTTGAACATTGTTTCAAGTAGTTTTTGAGATGACCAGAGATTAACATACAATGGGCAGCTATATTCGGTAAGCCACCTTGAGTCATTATGAGTGAATAGGCGGCAAGATAAATTCAACAAATAAATAAAGATATAAATGGTTTAAATACATATATTCATTCGTCTTCTGGAGAGGTAAAGCAAGCACTCACTAAAAGTAATCCTCTGATTCTCCCCATTCTTGGCTGTTTACTGTAGCAACCCCGATCCCTTAAAAAAAAATAATCCTTATTTCAGTATATTTTCGGTTTTCCAGGAACATGGAAGCCCAAAGGGGTTTTCTCCAGATACCCAAAGTCCAGCTGAAGCAAAAGTTTTGGCTAACAGAAGATAGCATGGCTAAACTGCTGATGGCCGGTGCCAAATACGTGGACGGAGTCGTTCAGGAGAACCATTATTATGACACGGCTTTGGATGATCTAGCAATGGCTGGATTGTGGCTAAGCCGAAGGGATCAAGAGTGGTTCCTCATAGTAGAAGCTCAGGAGGGAGGAACCCAAGAAAAGCTTGAGGAGCAAATCAAGGAAAAAGCTGCTGATCCAGGGGAAACCTTATGCCAGAAGATGGCCAACAATGTCCAACAGGACAATGCCCGTAGGAAGCCATCAAAGCAGAATCTAGACAAGCTGGGAGCTCTGCTCAAAATCCAGGATCAACAGCTTGATTCGGGGGCAGCGGATTTGGAATCCGAACGTCCAAAATTTAGTTCCGCCTTCACCGAGTTAGTTGGCGAGAGCGAGGTCACCGCCTACCTAGCAGCCCATCTCCGCCTAGACTTGATCACCGAGGGGAGGGAAAAGGCAACCATGGAGGACTTTCTGCAGAAGGCGGGCATCGAACACTATGCCAGCAATCACATCGTTGATCGAACGACGTATCTATTGTCCGACAGGTATACCGTCATCGTTCAAAGGGAAGAATGCTCTTTCAGAGAGACAGTGATGGTGGTGTTGGAGGCCGATGTTTTTAACATTTGCAAAGGTTTGGAAGAGATCGAAAAATTGGCGGCCTACCTGGGGATGGAAGAGCAAGGAATTCAGAGCGAGGGAGAAATTATGACGTAGCAGCCAGAGCTGCCCAAATATTTTAAAAAAGCTTTCTTTGGAATTAGGGTAGGGTTAATGGAAGGGAGGGGAGAGGAGTGAGAGTAGAGTAGAGTAGAGTAGAGTAGAGTAGAGTAGAGTAGAATAGAATAGAACAGAACAGAATAGAACAGAATAGAATAACAGAATTGGAAGGGACCTTGGAGGTTTTCTAGTCCAATCCTTTGCTCAAGGCAGGAGACCCCGTACCATTTCAAACAAATGGTTGTCCAATCTCTTCTTGAAAACCTCCAGTGATGGGAGCATCCATAACTTCTGGAGGCTTCTACTGGTTAATTGTTCCCACTGTCAAAAGTTTCTCTTCAATTCTTTCTCTGATTAGTTTCCACCCATCGCTTCTTGTCCTGCCTTCAAGTGTTTTGGAGAATAGCTTGACTCCCTCTTCTTTGGGGCAGCCCCTCAGCTATCCTGTCTCCCCTAGTCCTTCTTTTCATCAGACTAGACAAACCCAGTTCCGGCAACTGCTCTTTGTATGTTTCATCCTCCAGTCCCCTAATCCTCTTTGTGGCTCTTCTCTGCACACTTTCCAGAGTCTCAAACATCCTTTTTACATCTTGGCGACCAAAACTGGATGCAGGATTCCAAGTGTGGCCTTACTAAGGCGTTATAAAGCGGTATTATTAAGGCCAGGCATAAGCAGATCGCCGTGATATATGGCATTTTCCCCTTTAAAATTGCAACCTCAGGCCGCTTGGGTCCAGCAGCTTGAAAATACAGATTTATGGCGACAGCGGCAGATCGTCGAGTGTCAGCAGTTGCTCTATGAATAGCACAGTGAGAGCAGCTGCTAAGAAAGGGATGTTTTTCTAAAGCAGTGAACCGTGGAAATGTAGCTTCTCCTTTTGAGAGCTGCCCAGGTGCCCGAATAATGGCTTGCTTGCATCGAGGTTTCAAATAATCCACTTGAATCTTCCTGTTTATTCGAGCCGAAGAGAATGGGGTTTTCTGCAGGCATCTGTCTTCGGCTGCGACAACGTTAAACTCGGTTAAACTGCCTGAAAGAGCATTTTCATTTATTCAATGTAAGGATATGCAACGTTAGGTTCGCCGCGACTATTTTTAGCATTCGGGGGAAGAGTGACAGGGGAGAGGCTCCCTTTGAAGAAATCCTCGACTTACGACAGTTCATTCAGGTGCTTTGGAAAATACGTTGAGCCCTTCCTCCTCTCTGTGGCAGCCCCTAGACTAGCCAGGCCCAGTTCCTGCAACCGTTCATCGTTATGTTTTAGCCTCCACTCCTCTCATCCTCCTGGTTGCTCTTCTCTGCACCCTTTCCAGAGTCTCAACACTATAACAAGTGTGGGAACCAAAACTGTACCCAGGTGTGGCCCTCTTGAATTTATCTCCCCCAAGGCCGCCCATTGGTGACGCGGTGCCAAACATCCAGACGGGATTCGGTCATCCGTTCCAGCAAAGCCGTTCTGGATCTGTATAATATTCCTAGGTACTTTGTGGCTGGTTTAACCGTAGCTGCAAAGCTCAGGTGTGTATCAACGTTAGGGCCACAAACAACAATTAATTTACATTTATATATGCCCAACGGGATCACATCATCTATTTAACGACTCTGAATGGCTCCAGGCCCTTTGAAGTATCGATTCCACAAGGAAGCGCTTAGAGGATCAATATCTCCTTTTATTATTCTAGCAAGCATAGTAACACCCGTAGTAGCTCTGAGAATTGCCAAAAGGAAGGGAGGAGGGAGTTCAAATCACCCACAACTGCAGGCACAGGTAGTCCTCGACTTGACGACCACAACAGAGGCCAACTTAGCTTCCATCGCTAAGCGAGACAATGGGTTCAGTGAGTTTTTTTTAATGGCCTTTGTGGCCTTGATGGTTAAGGTGAATCCTCCCTGCAGCTGTTATGTTGGCAACAAGGTTGTTGAATCCCCATTGGCTTTGCTGGTCAAGTTGTCACAAGAGGGAGTCACGCCAACCAAGTACATGCCAGTTGCCCAGCGTCCAAATTTCGATCACCTTGATCGCAACCCTTCCAGGTGGGAAAAAGGTCCCTTTTTTTCTGGGCCGTTGTAACTTTGAACCATCGCTAAACGAATGGGTCATAAGTTGAGGAGCACTGAACAAGTGCCCTGAAGAAGAGAGAACACTGTTGGGGTACAGAGCTTCTAAACACAATTAAACAACTCTCCTCAGTCCTACTGGAATTTCCAATGAATACATTTCTGTTGGTTTATTATTATAGATTGTGGATTAACAGAGTCGGAAGGGACCTTGTAGGTCATCTAGTCCAACCCCCCCCCACCCAAATTTAAATTTTAAAAAATAATAAAGCCAGTTATAACTCACAGCATCCCCAACTCTTTCTGAGGGGGAAAAAAATTAACCAAAATTCCTTGGTGATTTCCGAGTAAATGAACTCAGCAGGAAGATTAATCCAAATTTCAGCATGATGGATCATTCAGGGATTTTTGGCTTGCAGATATTTCCAGGCATGATGGCAGTTCTAGGATCCATTGTATTATTATTATTATTATTTTTTATGGCCAGGTTTTAGCTGCTCCTTTACACAAGAGAACGTTTCCCCCATTGCAAAATTGGTCGTGTTAAAACATGCTGTTCTATTGGCTCGCTCGGCAGACCGTGAAATTCCCCGGATGGTAATAATATTTCACAATATTCGTGGCGTGAAGTCATCCAGGTAGCCTTAGCTTTTCATGATGGGCCTCAATTCTTCAGAAATACAAAGGGTTGTGCAAAATAACAGCCCAACAACGGTGCTGTGAGTGATGGTTACTCACCGTTTTGTTTCGATATTATACATTACCCTGAAAACACAAATACGGGGCTTTGGTTTTTTCCCCCCCAGTCAGACTCAAACCGAGTAACTTATCTTCAACCTGACAGGCAATTTATTTCACAAATCACAGGGATGTCGAGGTATTAAATGTACGGCTCCAATTCCTCTATTTATCAGACTCTATATTCAAAGGGAGATAATCTGGACACTGTTCCACTGCCTCACAACAGGAAGACTCAATGAAACTCAATTCAGACAAAAATCTGCAATGTTCAGCTTCCCCACCTTGCTTAAACACCCCCGAATTCACAACTAAGAATTCAAAATGATGGGCTTTAAAATGACACTTATAAAACAGGTGCTTGTCAACAAACATCAACCATTCTCTCGCATATCAAAGCCTACTACGGTGGTATATGTATACTTCCTCCCTCCCTCTTCTTCCCATCTTCCTTCCTCCTCCCTTCCTCTTCTTCGCATCTCCTTCCTTCCCTTCCCCTTCTTCCCCTTCCTTCCTTCCTCCTCCCTTCCTCTTCTTCGCATCTCCTTCCTCCTCTTTCCATATCTTCCTTCCTTCCTCTGTCTTCTTCCCATTCCTCCCTTCCTCTTCTTCTCATTTCCTTCCTTCCCTTCCTCCTCTTCTCATTGCTTTCCTCCCTCTCTCTTCTTCCCAGCTTCCTTTCCTTTCCTTTCCTTTCCTTTCCTTTCCTTTCCTTTCCTTTCCTTTCCTTTCCTTCCCTTCCCTTCCCTTCCCTTCCCTTCCCTTCCCTTCCCTTCCCTTCCATCTTAGGAGACTCCAGGAGACCACATAAATCTTCAATCGATTCACGCATACACGCATTTCAAAATGCTAGCTGTGATTATTTGAAGCTCTGCAGTGCAACTCCTACTGATGCTATTTTGGGCACCGCAAATAATGTATACAAATTCCTAATGACCCTACCAAACGTGGTGACCGTGGCCTGCAGACTGCAAGGCGTTCAACCTTAAAACCACGCGATTTGACAAAACCTTAAATTAAATGCTCCTTCCCAAACTATACTTAGGCAGCTTTTCTTGTCCACAAGCACAGGAACTAAATGGGTTATCAACACCCTGCCTCCCATTGCTTTTTAAACAATTTATAAATGGTTTATCCCAAGCTCATTCCAAGGCTCTTTACAATAATAAGGTAGAGAGAGAGAGACATTTGGGTGCATTGAATTCAAGATGTTCTGAGTGCCAATTCTGGCAAGCTGGAAACTGCACCTCCCATTAAAATTTCATCTGATTGGTCTCTTTAAGCACGAGCACAATTAAAGATCTACCACAACATCTTCTTTTCAAACGTGCAATCAATAGATACACTTTGTAAGTTTGTCTCTAAATTGTTCCCATACTTTTTGCAAACAATAGGTGAAACATAGTATTACTATTACTCACAGGAATGATACAAAGTTAACGTATCAGTCAGCATGGCAAACATTTGGTAGAAATAACAATCCCACATTCTGCTGACTCATGTTAGAAACCAAATAAGAAAATGTAAATTCATGCATCCTGGAAATAAAACAAATGAAAAGCTGACTCAATGCTCTTTGAATGGCCATGAAAATACAAAAAAATACATGAATAATGTGGTTTCCCTTGGGTTAATAACACCAAACATACTTATTATTCCCCTTCATCGGTCTACTTCAGGGAAATTTCTATATATATAAAGAGAAATAAATTAGAACATTAATTTATTAGAACATTATTTATTTACTGCCATGGCTAGCACTGATGATGTTACTAGTCTGGTAATGAAACGTCTGTAAGAAAACCACCAAGATCAGAGAGCACCAAGGGCCCCACAGCCCTCTTCTTCTTCCATGCCACAAACCCCACTACCTTCTAGCACTGATGGTGCTACCTAGTTGGGTAATGAAACGTCTGCAAGAAAACTCACCAAGCTCAACACAGTACCAAGGACCCAGCCATGCAGTTTCATGCTGTACTGTATTTTTATATAACTGAACCTTATTGTATTTTCATGTCGTTTCCATTCCTATTAATCTTTAATCCAGGTTTGTTGCACTGTATAATACGGGATGTATAACTTATTAATCAGCTGAAATGAACAATAAGGCTCCACCTGTCATAGGTGAAATTAATTTTTTTACAGTCCTAGGAGAACTCTCTAGAATTGAGCCAAATATGAAATGCACTCCTTAGCTATT